GGGGGGGGGGGGTTAGGACCCCCCCCCTTCCCCGATCCGTCGTCGGGGACCCCCCCCTTCCCCCCTTCCCCGATCCATCGTCGGGAACCTTCCCCCCCTGGGCTCCAGTGGCAGGGTCCGCATACGTCGCAGCCACCCAGGACAGCGTTTCATGGCCCCATAAAAGAGCTCCACCAAAAGCTCCAGTGGCAGGGTCCGCATGCGCCACCGCCACCCAGGATAGCGCTTCGTGGTCCCATAGGGAGCTCCACCGAAGGCACCAGTGGCAGGGTCCGCATGCGTCAACGCCACCCAGGACAGCGCTTCGTGGCCCCATAGGGAGCTCCACCGAAGGCTCTAGTGGCAAGGTCCGCATGCGTCACCGCCACCCAAGACAGCGCGTCGTAGCCCCGTAACGGGGCTCCACCAGTGGCAGGCTCCGTGTGCGTCACCGCCACCCAGGAGGACAGTGCTTCGTGGCCCCATAGGGAGCTCCACCGAAGGCTCCAGTGGCAGGGTCTGCATGCGTCACCGCCCACCGAAGGCTCCAGTGGCAGGGACTGCGTGCGTCACCGCCACCCAGGACAGCGCTTCGTGGTCCTATGGGTAGCTCCACCGAAGGCTCCAGTGGCGGTGTCCACATGCGTCCGCGCCGCCGATTTCGTGGCACACCTTGCACGTCTCGTTGCCCCATCGGAAGCTCCACCGAAATGGGTACCCACAATGCAGCACTCGCAGCTGCATATGGTTGGGTCCTTCGCCAAGCTATTTTTGTTTTTTCCCCCAACCATCCTGTGGTGCTGGGTCATCGTTTTGAAGAGACAGCGCCCCGCGTTTCTCCCTCCCTCCCTCCCTCCCCCTCCCTCTCCTCCCTCTTCCCTGCGTTTCACCCATCCAGTAGAGCGTTTCGTGGCCCCATAGGGAGCTCCACCGAAGGCGCCAGTGCCACCGTCCGCATGCTTCCCGAAACATGTGTAATTTTGTATTTTCATCCACCCAGTCCAACGTTTCGTGGCCCCATAGAGGGGGCTCCACCAAAGGCCCCAGTGCCACCGCCCGCACGCGCCCCGAAACATCAAATTGTGCATTTTGATACGCCCAGTGCAGCGCTTCGTGGCCCCATAGGGAGCTCCACCGTAAGCGCCAATGCCACCGTCCGCACGCGTCCGGGAATACCCCATGTTGCATTTCACCTGCCCAGTACAGCGCTTCGTGGCCCCATAGGGAGCTCCACCAGAAGCCCCAGTGCCACCGTCCGCATGCGTCCAAAACATCCGATTTGGCACCCACCCAGTACAGCGTTTCGTGGCCCCATAGGGAGCTCCCCACCGAAGGCTCCAGTGCCACCGTCACCATGCGCCCCGAAACATCAAATTTGGCATTTTCACTCACCCAATACAACGTTTCGTGGCCCCATAGGGAGCTCCACCGAAGGCCCCAGTGCCACCGTCCGCACGCGCCCCGAAACATCCAATTTGGCATTTTCACCCACCCAGTCCAACGTTTCGTGGCCCCACGGGGAGCTCCAAAACATTTAGTTTGGCATTTTCGCACACGCAGTAATTACAGCGTTTCGTGGCCCCATAAGGAGCTCCGCCGAAGGCCCCAGTGCCACTGTCCACATGCGCCCCGAAACATCAAATTTGGCATTTTCACCCACCCAATACAACGCTTCGTGGCACCATAGGGAGCTCCACCGAAGGCCCCATTGCCACCGTCCGCACGCGTCCAGAAACATCCAATTTGGCATTTTCATCCACCCAGTACAGCGCTTCGTGCCCCCAGGAGGAGGAGGAGGAGCAAGAGGAGGACGATGACGAGGAGGAGGAGGAGGAGGAGCAGGAGGAGAAGGAGGAGGAGGTTCACTGCCCATAGAGGGAGAGAGTCAGGGAGAAAGAGAGAGAAGGAACATGGGATAGGGTCTCCATCCAAGGTGAACTTCTTGGTCCCCGCACGAGGGGCGCCATCTCGTGCGGGGCCCACCGACAGGAGACAACCCCCCAATGAAAGAGACAGGGGCGAAGGAGGAGGAGGAGGAGGAGGAGGAGAAGGAGCAGGAGCAGGAGGAGAAGGAAGAGGAGGAGGAGGAGGAGAAAGAGGAGGAGGAGGAGGAGCAGGAGAGAGGACGCGCAGGAGGAGGAGCAGGAGGAGGAGGAGGAGGGGAGGAGGAGGAGAGGAGGAGGAGGAGGAGGAGGAGGAGGAGAGGGGCAGGAGGAGAGGAGGAGGAGGGGGCAGGAGGAGGATGATGAGCAGGAGCAAATGCAGGAGCAGGAGAAGGAAGAAGAGGAGGAGGAGGACGAGGAGGGGAGGAGGAGGAGGAGGAGGAGGGAGGAAGAGAAGGAGGAGGAGGAGGAGGAGAGGAGGAGGAGGAGGAGGAGGAGAGGAGGAGGAGGAGGAGGAGGAGGAGGAGGAGAGGAGAGGAGGAGGAGGAGGGAGCAGGAGGGGCAGGAGGAGGAGGAGGAGGAGGAGGAGGAGGAGGAGAGAGGAGGAGGAGAGGAGGAGGAGGAGGAAGATGAGGAGGAGGAGGAGGAGGAGGAGGATGAGGAGGAGGAAGAGAGGAGGAGGTGGCCGGCCGAGGAGCAGCCGCAGCAGGTGGAGCGGCAGGCGCACGACGGCAACGACGGCGGCGCCTCCACGAACGCCACCTCGTTGGGCCTCAGGTTCAGCAGCGGCGCCCTGCGACGGCTGAGCTCAGCCTTCGGGGACGGGGCGGGGCAGGCGGGCGCCCTCCTCCGCACCAGGGGGGGGGGGGGATGCTCCTCCTCCTCCTCCTCCTCCTCCTCCTCCTCCCTCCTCCTCCTCCCCTCCTCCTCCTCCTCCTCCTCCTCTCCTCTTCCTCCTCCTCCTCCTCCTCCTCCTCCTCCTCCTCCTCCTCCTCCTCCTCTCCTCGCTCCTCCCCGGCGTCCTCGGCCTCGTCCTGCCGAGCTCGGCACCGCGCGGCTTGCTTTTGTTTC